GGGGGGGATAAAGGACTGGGGGGCGGATGTGTGAGGATGAAGCACCCGGCAGGTGGGGATGGGTTTGAGTGGGGGAGGGGGGTGAGAAAGTACAGTAGGGGCAATGAATGTACACACATACAGAATGTTCCAAGGACCTCTATGGATCAGAGGTAGGCTCCCGCAAAGACTATTTCCTCGTGGCTATGAGAGGGGATCACAGTACCTTGAGGGCTCATTTTGGAGTAGGGATCCCCAAGTCTAACAGAACGGGGAGTAGGGGTTTCTAACAGCCAGAGTAGGGGCTCAGGATTCCCAGGGATGGTCATTTAGAGTCTGAGGTTGAGGGATCTGGTGGCTGAAGTCTTCCCAAGAGCTGAGACAAAAGGGACAGGAATGTGAGGGTAAGAATTGGGAGCTGGAGTCCCCAAAGACCAGCAAAGGAGGTATAAGGGGTCTCCAATGACTACTGATAAGAAATAAGGCTCAGTGGAAAGACCACTGGGTTTAGAATCAGAAGTCCTGGTTCTGACCCTTAAATGCCTGTGTGACTTTGGATAAATCACTTTCTCCTTCTGAGCCTTTCTAAAATTAGAGAGTTTGCAGAGTTGGTCTCTGAGATTCCCATCCTGCTCTGAAATCCCACTCCCCTAAGGGCAAGGAGTCCAAGACCCTGGGGACCAGAATTTGGAGGGCAGAGACTGTGTGTATGTGGGGTCCCTGATGACTTGGGCTAGGAGGTCAAGGACTTCAGGATAGAGGTGGAGGTTCTCCAGGCCCAGGGGTACCCTGGGTAGATGCTTTCTCGTATCTACCGTGTACCCCTGCCCGTGTCCCCCCTAGTATTTGCCCAACCAATCGTGAGCCGGGCCCGGCCTGAGATGCTCCGGTCTCATTTCATTCCCACGGTGGGCCGGCTGCGGAAGCGAGCTGGGAAGGTGGTGGCCGAGGAGGAGCAGCTACGGCTGGAGGCCAAGGCGGAAGCCGAGGAGGGAGAACTCTTGGTGCGGGACGAGTTTTCTGTGCTCTGCCGGGACCTCTACGCGCTCTATCCCCTGCTCATCCGCTACGTGGACAACAACCGGTCAGCCCCTTCCCGGCCCCAACACCCTAACGCCCTACTCTCCCTCGGTCAGCTTTAGTCCCAGCACAGACACCCAAGAGGGCGGGACCAGAGCCCAGGCCTCACCACCCACACACCTCTCTTTCCTTGGCTATGTCATCGGCGACTTCTCCAGGCACTAGATAGGTAGCCATCCATGTTTGCCCAAGAGAAGACCTGACTTGGAGTCAGGACGATCTGAATTTGAATCCCAGTGACTTTGGGCAAGCCCCTTAACCTTTCTGAGCCTCTAAGTGCTCAGCTACAAAAATGGGGACGGGGTTGGACCGAGTACCTTTTAGCTGAAGAGCCGTGGGCCTCTTGTTCTCATCCTCAGATCGTGATCCACATTCCTCCACAAATCCTCAGGTGAGGGTCTGCTCAGGGGGAAGGGCCCTCAGACTCACTGAGACTGTCCATCCATTTGAAGCCACCTAGGCAGGTCTGCAGTGAAGGGCCCCAGGGATCTGTGTTTGGTCCTCTGCTGTTTAACATTTTTCTTCATGGATGACACGCTTATCTAACCGCAAATGTCACCAAAGCCTTTCTCTCTCACCCTTGTGACCAGCCCACCTCCTTTTCCAGACCAGCAGACCTTTGATGATAGCCCTGAAACTATCTCTTGTGTATGTCATCACTGATAACATACCACAGCTTGCTCGTATCTACTGTCCATCTCTCTTGGCCTGTTGAACCACTCAGATTTTCTACTGAGTTCATGGTGTTCCACAATCTGTAGTCACAGGGCACCATGGGAGAATCACAGTGTTTAAAAGATGGCCTTGGGATCAGGGAACAGCTCAGGATCATTGAAAGCTTTTCCCGAATGTGAGCCGGGCATCTGGGCCGTCCTCACTGTCCTTCTTTAGTGCCTGCACTAAAGTTGTGTGGATGGACTGACTCTTTGGGCTTCTCAGATAACTGAACGTCTCAATCTGGGCAATATGCCTCCTTCATCCACTTTGTTTTTCCCATGTGGATTGCAAGACTGACTGCAGGCAGGCAAGTAGCATTTATTAAGCACCTACTATGTGCCAGGCACTGTGCCAAGCATGAGAATACAATTAGAAATAAAAAGAAAAACAGTTCCTGCCCTGAAAGAGCTTAAATGCTCATGAGAGGTAAAAATAAGCATTTATATAGTAACTACTATGTGCCAGGCACTGTGCTAAGCACCTTACAAGTATTATTTCATTTGGTCCTAACAACAACCCTTTGAGATAGGCGCTGTTATTCCCATTTTGCAGTTGAGGAAACTGAGGCAGACAGGTTAAGTGACTTGCCCAGGGTCACACAACTAGTAAATGTCTGAGGCTGGATTTGAACTCAGGTCTTTCTGACTCCAGGCCCAGCTCCACCTAAAAAGACAACACATGAAAGGAAGCTAAAAAATGGGGGCAAGAGGGGGCAGCTAGGTGGCTCGGTGGATAGAGCACGGTCCTGAAGTCAGGAGGACCTGAATTCAAATCCGGCCTCAGACACATAATATTTCCTAGCTGTGTGGCTCTGGGCAAGTCGCTTAACCCCAACTGCCTCACCAAAAGAAAAATGGGGGGAAGAGGAGTGGAGGGGTAGCAGTCCCAAGCTGATCACAAATTATTTTTCTTCATATCTGATGCTCCATCCAAACTGGCCTACTCGCCATTCCTCATACAGGACATTCCATCTGCCACCTCTGGCCCTTTTGTATCCCCGTCTCTTGGAATCTCTGACTCCTCTCAAGGCTCCACTCCAGGGCTAGCTTCTTCCAGAAGTCTTTCTTGATTCTCTCAGGCATTAGCCCCTCTCCCTCCCCATCACCACCTACATCACGATACAATTATATATCCTATATTGACTCATCTGGGAACATATCCTAACCCCTCAAGGACAGGGACTGTTTCATTTTTTATCTTTGTATCTCCCAGGACAGTGAATGGCACACAGTAAGCACTTCATCAGTGCTGATCAATAGGTTGGCATCTAATCAGAAGACAATTGTAGTAATCTAGGCAAGGTGTCAGAGATACTATGTAAGTAGAATTGGTACAGTTCAGTCACTAATGGGATGTGGGAGATGAAGATGGCAGAGAAAGGGGCTAGAAGAATGGTGGGACCCTCTAAGACCTTATTCTGGACACTCCCTGGCTTATTAATAGTAAATAGTCAATAAACATTTATTAAGTGTCTACTGTGTTCCAAGAGGCAGCTGGGTGGCTCAGCGGACAAAGCGCCAGACCTGGAGTCAGGATGATCTGAGTTCAAATCCAGCCTCAGACACTCATTAGCTGTGTGTCCCTGGGCAAGTTACTTAACCTTGTTTGCCTTAATCCACTGAAGAAGGAAATGGTAAACCACTCCAGTATTTTTGCCAAGAAAACCCCATTCGGGGTCACAAAAATTTGGACGTGACTGAACAACAACTGTGTGCCAGGCGCTGTGCTAGGCATAAGGATATAAAGAAAAGCAAAAGACAGTCCCTGCCCTCAAGGAGCTAACAGTCTAATGAGAGAGAACAACGTGCAGGAAAATTGAAGAAGTCAACAGAGGGAAGGCATCAGCATCAAGGGGGATAGGGAAAGACTTCCTATAGAAGATGGGACTTGAGCTGGGACTTGAAGGAAGCTAGGAGGAGGGGATGAGGAGGGGACAGCGTTCCAGGCACAGGGGAGAGTCAGTGAAAATGCATGGAGCAGAGAGATGGAGCAGTCAGGAGGCTGGCGTCACTGGATTAAAGAGTATATGGTGGGGAGTAAGGTATGAGAAGGCTGGAAAGGGAGGAAGGGGCTAGGTTATGAAGGGCTCTGAATGCCAAGCAGAGCATTTTGTATTTGGTCCTGGAGGTGATAGGGAGCCACTGGAGATTATGGAGGAGAGAGGTGACATGGTCAGACCTGCGCTTTAGGAGGTTCCTCTGGTATGACCTGTTCTTAATGAAGTCATCCTGGCCCTTTGGATTGTTGCTTTTTCTGTGTGCTCACTATCCCTTTTTAATAATACAGTTCAGGTTTTTTCCAGAACTCCAAGCCAAGTTCCCGTTCATCCCACCCTCTTCCCTTTCTTGTCTTCCATTTCTGCGGCATCATTCCCATTTTCCACAGCCTTCCTGGCATCACTGACAGTGACTCAGTAATCATAGCTGGTATTTTTTTCAGTGCCCTGGAATATAGCTCATGTGAGCCGAGAGATTAGAATTCATCAAGGGTACCCAGGTACTCCCTTCCAGCTCCAACCTTCTATAATTCTTGTAGGTACCACTAGGTACCTTCCTGACTGAACTCCAACTGTTATCAATCACTGCTCAACTTAAAATTGCCTCTTCCTAACCTTCCTCCCCTCCCAAACACCAAACCTCTCCCCCTTACATCACTGAGCCAACAGGATCTATTCGTGAACAGATCTGAATCATAGGTCAAGCAGCTGGATTGGGTGGCTGGGCATCTAACCCAGGACATTAAAGTAATAAAAGTAAAAATAACCTCCCAACTCATGCCAGACATTTTTTTAGAATCAAAAGCCTTCCAGTTCTTAGCTAGGCAGAAGGCTACCTCAGCTTAAATTTCAAAGCCTTTAATCACTTGCCTATTCTAATTACCTTGGGCACAATTAATTCCAAAGAATTAAAGTTTCAGATCACCCAAAGGGTATCGGAGAGACACATGGTGGGCATGAGTAGGTTGTACCATGTTCCCAACAAAGAATTCCAAGAGAATTTTTGTAAAAGGATATCATGCCTGAGATTGACTGTTAGAATAGAAGCAGGGCTTATTGATGGGGAAGTCCATTCGATGCCCAAAGGAAGAGGAGAGCTTCTTCTAGGCACCCAGCCTATTGGGCACCTTCCCTGCATGGGACCAAGACAAGTCTCAAGAGACAAGGCATGGATGGGTCATGACATACAGTCACCAGTAGAGGGAGTACCTCCATTGATGTCATCCCAGATCCATCTGGGTTCTACGTTTCAAAGGAGTGAAGGATGTGTCCTTCCTTATCTGAGAAAATTCATTTCCTCCCTTCCTGAGAGTGCCTCCCGATGGACAAAGCCCCTGCCAAATGCTTTGAAGAGTGGGTCAGTATAGAAAATGCCTTTGGACGGAATGCTAAGAATTCCTCCTTAAGGAGCCGTTGAATGACTCTAACCATTTTTATAATGGGGTCATCGCTAGACTTCTAATTTTTTTTATTTTATTTTTGTTAATATCCTTTTTTTAAAAAAAATATCCCATTCATTTCCTGACTCCCCTCCCCAGGCAGTCATCCCTTATAATAAGGATTTTAAGACAGGGAGAAAAAAACATTTCAGTAAACAGTAAAACCATTTTTGACCAGGATACATTATTGCACACCCATAGTCCTCCCACCTCCATAAAGATGGGAGGAAGATAACACCAGCTTTCTTAACAGGGGCCAACCTTCGTCTTCCCCCTCTCCCTCTAATGTCTTAGAATGAGGGTATCCAGCTGACCATTATGGCTTCAATTTCCCTGTCTGTAAAATGAATCAGCCCTCCATCCTTCCCTCACCCCCCACTCTCTCCTCTCCTATCCCCTCTAATTCTCTGACTCACTACCCTCCTGCAGAGCCCACTGGCTAACAGAGCCCAACCCTGATGCAGAAGAACTCTTCAGAATGATAGCAGAAATCTTCATCTACTGGTCAAAGTCTCATGTAAGCATCTGTCCCCTAGCCTTCCCCCCTTGACACTGTGCTGAAACTCCAGATGGGGAACAACTGTGGTAGAGTGGAGTGGGCCCTGGACCCAGAGCCAGGGGTCCTGGGTTCGAGTCTCGGTTCTGCTACTGATTCGGGCTGACCTTAATGAAGTCTGTTCCCTTCTTGAGTCCTCGGTCTTGAAAAGGTTAGCCGACCCCTAAGGACCTTTCCAACACCAACACTCTCTGTTCAGGGTTCTAAGCTCCCTTCTAGTTCTGCCATTCTGAGGTTTGAAGACCCTCAATCACTCTGTGCATCTTCTCCCCCACCCCCAGAACTTCAAGAGAGAGGAACAGAACTTTGTGGTACAGAATGAAATCAATAACATGTCCTTCCTGACTGCAGATAGCAAGAGCAAGATGGCCAAGGTAAGGAAGAGGTGAATGGGAGGAGTGGCCACCTCCTCTTCCTGCCCTTTCCAGCCTCCCCTCTCCCCACCACCCTCCCTCCAGTCCTTCCACCTCTCCTCAGCTTTTTTCCCACGACCTTCCCTTGTCCCAGCTCTCCCCCCTTCCCAGTCGGGCATTTATTAAGTACCTGCTATATGCCTGGCTCTGTGCTAAGTGCTGGGAATGCAACAAAATCAATCCACGGACATTTATTAAGCACCTACTATGTACCAGGCACTGTGTTAAGGAAGACAAAAACAGGGTCCCTGCCCCAGGAGTTCATGGTTAAATAGAGGAAACCACACACATACAGCTATGTATAGACAAGATATATACAGTGTCAACTCAGGGAAGGCAATAGCAGCAGGGGAGGCTAGAGAGGCTTCTTAAGGAAGGTGGGACCTTGAAGAAAGCCATAGAACCTAAAAGGCAAAAATGAGGACAGAGAGTATTCCAGGCATGGTAAATGTTCAGTACACACACATGGAGTTGGGAGATGGAGCCCACTGAGTGGAAGAAGAGGAAGGTACAAAGGAGTCAGGTTGGGAAAGGCTTTTCTATTTGTTCCTGGAGGCAACAGGGAGCCACTGGAGTTTCTTGAGGGTGGGAGGGCATGACATGGTCAGATTCAGGCTTTAGGAAAATCACTTTGGCAGCTGAGTGGAGGATGGATTGGAGTAGGGAGAGACTTGAGGCAGGGATCAATTAGGAGGCCTTCACAATAGTCTAGACTCGAGGTGACGAGGGCCTGAAAGAAGCTTGTGGCTGTTAGTGAAGAAAGAGGGTTAAGAGTACAAATAGAAATGACAAGAGTGACAATATATTCGATATATGGGGTGGTGAGTGAGGAGCCAAGGATGATGACACCCAGATTTCAAGGATGGTCATAGCCTGGAGAGTAACGGGAAAATTCAGAAGTGGAGAGGATTGAGGAGGCAGGATGATGAGTTTCGGGCATGTTGAGTTTGAGATGCCTGTGGGACATCCGGTTCCAGATGTCAGGTAGGTAGTTGGTGATACAGGACTATATGGTCCAAGAGAGAGGTGAGGGCTGAATAAATAGATCTAGGAATTAGCAGCATGGAGAAGATAGAAGAATCCATCACCTGACCAAGAGGACTTCTGTGGACGGACGACCCATCCATGTAGTTGGATTGTGTGAGTGGCCATCTAACAGAGGGCCCCTAGGGGAGTTATAGAATGTTGAATGGTAGCGATGAGAGAGAACTCAGAGCAAAGAAAGTTAGGGCTGGAAAGGACTTTATGTAGGCAGAGCTGGGAGGGACCTCAGGACACAGAACCTTACAGCAGGGATGTCAGAGTTGGGAGGAACCTTAGGACATAGAACATCAGAACTCTTGTAAAACCACTAAATCCATTCCCCCACCTCATTTTATAGAGTGGGAAAGGGACCTTGATGGACAGAAGTGAGCCTAGAACCTAGGCCTCGAGACTCCCAGCAAAGGGATTTTGTCCCCTCCCAACCCCAGTCTATGACTATAAGGAAGGGGCCTGGGCAGGGGATGGATTGGGAATTCCAGGGGGTAACCATATCTCTGTCTCTGTCTCTGCCCGGATGGAGCAGGCGGGAGATGGACAGGTCAGCACTCCCCCCCGCCCTAGGGGTCTCAAAGCATGGCTGGATGGCTGAATCCCCCAGTCCCAATCCCCTCTGCTCCTATTATCTCCCTGTCCCCTAGATCCCAATCTTTCCTGACTCTCCCGTTCCCAACACTTTTCATCTCCCAGCCCTACCCTTCTCCAGGCTTGACGCTCCTGCTCCCTCATCATCCGGTCTCCTGACTCTCCTGCTTGTGCCAGCACTGCTCCCCCTCCCCACCCCACCTTCCTGGCCTCCAATCCCTTTGTCCTCCAGCTGCTGATCCCCTGGTCCCAACTTTCTCTCCAAATATCTCTCTCCCAGCCTCCTTTGCCTCCCCCCACCAAGAACCTGTTCCCCACTTTGCAATCTATTTCTCCCCACCTTCTCCACTACCATCACTGCCACAACCACCAAAGGCCCTATCCGCTACTCCTTCTCCCCAAATCTCTATAGCTTCTTGCAATTTGACCCTTTTTTTCTCTTTGCTACTCTAGCATCTGGGGTTGGAGAGGAGTGGCTGTTGGGACCTGGGGAGTGGAGGGGAGCTGGGCATGTGCATGCAGCCCCACGGAAGGGCAGGCATGGGGGTCAATGCTGGGGGCCTAAAGGCTCTGTGCCAGTGCTGGGATCTTCATGTGTGATCTTGAACACGTCCAGAAGTCTACATCCCCTGCGTCGGTTTCCTCTGTGTCTTCTGTGTTTCTCTGTCTTTCTATCCGTCTCTTCCTCTGCGTCTCTTTCTCCATATCCCCACATCTCCTTGATCCATCTTTCCATGCCCCCCTTAGGTCTGCATGTCTTCTGTATGTGCCACCATTGTCTCTTCCGTGTCTCTGCACTTGGGTCATTCTTGGGGGTTGTGGTCAGGGAAGCCTCAACCGGACACCTTGATCTTTCCTGGGTCTGGGAGATGAGGGAATTGTGACCTTTTGGGGAACAATGAACCCAGGGGAACCAAGGGTCTGGGAGGATTGGGGAGATGGGTTCACAGACAGGAATCTTGGGGGTGATTAAGAGTCTCTGGATTCTGAGACATGTATGGCCTGCAGTCAGGAGGCTCCGATCAGGAGAGAACAAAGAAGAAACGTCGGGGAGACCGATATTCCGTCCAGACCTCTCTGATAGTGGCTACCCTCAAGAAGATGCTGCCTATTGGGCTGAACATGTGTGCACCCACTGACCAGGACCTCATTGCACTGGCCAAGACTCGTTATGCCCTGGTACCCACTCCACCTTCTCTGAACTTTCTCATAATTCACTGACCCTTCGGATCATTTACTGACCTCTCTGGTCAGTGTCTGACCTCTCTCTGACCCCTCTGATCCCTTATCCATTCCTTGTCCCATTACCTCACCCATCATGCACCTCTGTGACCATTCACTTACCTTTTAGTGACCACTCTAATCATTTAATGACCTCTGGCCAATGTCTGACCTATTTCTAGCCTCTGATGCTTTGAACATTCCCTGGTCCCTCTAGCCATTGACTGACCTATCTAACCATTCACTGACCTCTTTGACCAGTGTCTGACCAATCTCTGACCCCTATGGCTGTTCTTTGATGCCTCTCAGTCTTTGTCCATTCCCTGACCCATTTGGTCAGTATCTGACACATGTCTCACCCATCTCCAACCATTCTCTGATCTTTCTGGCCAGCACTTGACCCTTCTGGCCATACATTGACCCCTCTGACCAATATCTGACCATTTAGTTGGTCTCTCTGTCCAGTATCTGGCCCATCTCTTACTCCTCTGATTATTCTCTGACCCCTCGGAACATTCATTGATCCCTCTGAACATACGCTGACTCCTGGGCCATTCACTGACCCCATCCAAGCCATTTTCTGACTCTTCCCTGTCTCCCAAATATACCCCCAGATCCTTGTCCCTATGAGAATAATAGGTGGAATCAGGGAGCCAGGAGCCCTTAAACTTGACTCCACCTCCCTCCAACCATGTTTGTCCCCAGAAAGACACAGATGAAGAAGTTCGAGAATTTCTGCAGAATAACCTCCATCTTCAGGGAAAGGTATCAACCCAGTCCTGGAGCTGGAGGTGGGCTGAGAGGTGGAGAGAGCATTTCAGGATAGAGCCAAGACTCATTCCTTAGAAACTCCACAAAATAGCCACCCCTTTTTTCCCAGAGTGAGGGTTCCCCATCGCTGCGCTGGCAGATGGCCCTCTACCGGGGGCTGCCCGGTCGGGCCGAGGATGCGGATGCCCCTGAGAATATTGTTCGCCGGGTACAGGAGGTGTCAGCAGTGCTTTTCCATCTGGAACAGGTAGGAAGGAGCTCTGAAGGGGTAGAGCTTTTCCTGGGAAGGGCTGAGGCCTCAAAGGAGGGAGAACTTTGATCCCAAAGGGCCCAGGCCTAGATAAAGGAGGGCCTAAAAGGGATGAGAGCTCATGGATTTCATAGGGTAATAGACTTAGAGCTGGAAGCGATCTTAAGAGCATCTGATCCAACCTCCTCAATCTGTAGATGAGGAACCTGAGGCCTAGAGAAGGTTAGGAAGTAGGCCCAAGGTCACACAGTTGGTTACTGATTGAGCCAGGTTTGAACCCAGATCTCCTGATTCCTAGTGCAGTATTTTTTCCAATGCCCCATGGGTTTGGGGAAGATGGTGAGTTTGGGGGTGTTAGTTCCCTGAGCCCTACCTTTTCCTCCCACAGACAGAGCATCCCTTCAAGTCCAAGAAAGCCGTGTGGCACAAGCTCCTTTCGAAACAGCGTCGTCGTGCAGTTGTGGCTTGTTTCCGCATGACCCCCCTGTACAACCTGCCCCGGTAAGGAAGCCTTGTGGAGAAGGGTGGTAAAGGGAAGTTGGAGGATCCCAAGTAGGGCAGGGGGATTGGGATTTTGGGGGCAGGGCGGAGACAAGAATGGGTTCTTTCCTAACCCTAAACAGATCCTAGCTTAACTTTGAATTCCCACGAGAGCTAATTGATTCAGAGTCCAGCTGGGCTTTCCCCATTCTGGGGAGCAAGGAGACAGGGCCAGGAAATGAGAATGATAAAGGGACAGGGTAATTCAGAAGGCAGAAAGAAAGCCAGAACTCTGAGGCAAAGGCAGGGGATAGAGCAGGGGCTATGGAAATATGGTGTTGGGTAGAAAAGTAGCAAAGATGACCAGGCAGGCACTGAGCAAAATTAAGGTGGCTAGAATGATTCGAGAGAAATTGACATGACTGGGAGTGAGTCAAAAGAAATTGACATGGCTAGAGTGAGTCAAGAGAAATTAACATGGCTGGAGTGAGTCTAGAGAAAT